GGGGGGGGGGGGTGGTATGCAAATATATTTTTGCCAACTTCATAAATGGTTAAATGTGTGTCCTGTTTATATAAATAGATATATCCAGGGGATTCATAACAAGTTTCAACCATCGTAAACTATTCCTTTTTTTTCAACATCAATGAATTTCAGAAGAAGAAAAAAATGATAAAAAGACTCAAAAATAATTATTATCATATACAAAAAATTTAAAATGGATGCATATAATATGACATTACTCGGCTGTATAAGATGAAAATTTCCCTTGTTATTTTATTGCATTAGGTTATAGCCATTGAGTAACATGCTCAAAGATAAAGGTTATAGCCATTGAGTTATAGCATGCTCAGAGATGAAGGTTATAGCCATTGAGTAACATGCTCAAAGATAAATCTTTAACCAGATTTGTGGTAGCGATGTCAACAAGTGCGTCACGTGCTGGACAAACATGAATGACGTCAGTCGGTTAGAAATGAGTTTACTTTGACTCGGAATATTGATTGAATCAACCCTGTCACATGGGTTCGATCAACGATGTTCGTATCACAGAACCGCTAATTCACAGTGCCTTTTTTTTAAATTGTTGATTTAGATTTTCGATATATTATTGTTGAAGTTTTGTTTGTTTTTTTTTCCAGTTCAGCTAGCTGCCTTGATGACTGCTTTCGCCTACGCCACGATGAGGCTCCTTGGCGTTCCCAACGAGGTCTACACATCAGATGTAACCATCTTTGCCATCGGAGCGATTTACTTCGATTTTGGAAATGACGTATGCTGGAACGTTGTTTTTGCCAGCGAGTCTCGAAGTGAGTGAATGACGTCATTATTATTCTTTGCCTGTTTCAGCCCCATTTGAGAGCATAGGTCATGAACAAAGTCTTTTCCCCACATTCTGGTCTCTTGCAGTTCTTCTCTAACTCTTTCCAACTCTTTCCACCATTATGCACATCCTTATCTAAGTCTCTACGCCAGATGGTTTAGGTCTCTCCCGTTAGCTTGATCATCTAGCCTCAAGAATTTCATTATGTTCAATATTTATTTTGTGGAACATTCAGAAAGACATGTTTCAGATACATGTGTTTAATGGGTAAGGAAGGCTTCCACGGTTCGGTTCAAGTCTTCTATGGTTCAGTTCAAGTCTTCCTCGGTTCAATTCAAGTCTTCGAGGGTTCGGTTCAAGTCTTCTATGGTTCAGTTCATGTCTTCCACGGTTCAGTTCAAGTCTTCCACGGTTCGGTTCAGGTCTTCAACAGTTCGGTTCAAGTCTTCCACGGTTCGGTTCAGGTCTTCCACGGTTCAATTCAAGTCTTCCACGGTTCGGTTCAAGTCTTCTATGGTTCAGTTCAGTTCTTCATCGGTTCAATTCAAGTCTTCCACGGTTCGGTTCAAGTCTTCTATGGTTCAGTTCATGTCTTCCACGGTTCAGTTCAAGTCTTCCACGGTTCGGTTCTAGTCTTCCACGGTTCGGTTCAGGTCTTCAACAGTTCAGTTCAAGTCTTCCATGGTTCAGTTCAGGTCTTCCACGGTTCCGTTCAAGTCTTCCACGGTTCGGTTCAGGTCTTCAACGGTTCAGTTCAGGTCTTCCATGGTTCGGTTCAGGTCTTCCATGGTTCAGTTCAAGTCTTCCATGGTTCGGTTCAGGTCTTCAGCGGTTCAGTTCAGGTCTTCCATGGTTCGGTTCAAGTCTTCCACGGTTCAGTTCAAGTCTTCCACGGTTCTGTTCAGGTCTTCAGTGGTTCAGTTCAGGTCTTCCATGGTTCGGTTCAGGTCTTTTAATTGCAATCAACTTGCATTCGGGCAACTGGATTTCTTTACATTTTAAACACGGAAATCGTCGGCAAGTTGCACTGTCACCATGCCACTAAGTCACACCAGCACTATGTCAATATGTCTCATGTCACCTTGTCACATGTCACCTAGTCACATGTCACCTTGTCACATATCACATTGTCACATGTCACAAATATGACCATGTCATCTTGTCATAATGTCCCCTTTCACCATGACTCATGTCATCCTGTCAACAATTTCACCCTATGCTTCAGGTGACAACCCAGGGTTGACGTTCTCAGAGTTATTTCATGAAGTACAAAACACCAAAGCCTCATTTTTCAAAGGTGTCATGGTGATGATACTCTACACCTTCTGCAGCAGTTTCTTCTTGTGGTGTTTGGACAGGATACAACCGGGAGACCTGGGGATCGGTGAGCCGTACTATTTCTTTCTGAAGGTGAGCAACGGAACGTCCCTTAAAAAGTGTTTGCTTGTGTTAGCACTGGGGTTAGCTCCCTATCCTTCCCGAAGTGGGAAGAAGAGTAGGCTAAGACGTCTAGGCCCAGAGGTGGAAAAAATAGTAGACTAAGACGTCTAGGCCCAGAGATAGAAAAAAAGAGTAGACTAAGAAGTCTAGGCCCAGAGATAGAAAAAAAAAGAGTAGACTAAGAAGTCTAGGCCCAGAGATAGAAAAAAAGAGTAGACTAAGACGTCTAGGTCCCGAGGTGGAAAAAAGAGTAGACTAAGACGTCTAGACCAATGTTCCCTCTAAGGTTTGTTGGTTCGTGTGAAAATCATAAAGTCGTGTGAAAATTTTTACAGCATCAATTTTTTTGTTCGCAAAATTTTCAGCCTACAGGCACTTAAGTGGAAATTAGCTGCGCGGTATTCAAAACTGCTGCGCGGTGTCTGTGATATTGCTGCGCGGCCGCGCAGCCGCGCAGCCGCACAGCTTAAAGGGGACATTGGTCTAGACCTCTAGAATTGTACATGCGCTGCACTGCCTGATCAGAAGAGCTGCATTTTTCCTGATCGGTACAGCTGCAGTACCTCATCGGTACAGCTGCAGTGCCTGGCCGGTAGAGCTGCAGTACCTTGTTTCTAGAGCGACAAGAAAATCCACCTCTTTGTCTCGTATACACTTGCTGCCCCAGGGCAGACCAATTCGTCTTTTATGATGAGGCCAGTGCATGATGGTGAGACAGTGGAGAGATTGATATGGGGGTGGGGGGGGGGTTAAATTGATACGGTGGGAAGTAGAAACTGATACGGTGGGGCACTGGTTTTTAGTGTTTACTTCTCCTTGTAATTTATCTCTAACACTCCACCACTGATTCCTGTCTACTTCAGCTGAGGTACTGGCGTCCATATTACCTTATACCCGTCTTGCCGCCGCAGGAAATGAGATTTTTTGAAGGTCCGCCCGCGGCTATTTATGGCATAAAAGTTGAGAACCTTGTCAAGGTGTGTACCTGTCAGACACAGAAGATAACGTTTTGAAAACAGGGGCTCTCAAAAGTGGGCGGTACCGCCCTCACGGGCGGGTCGGTGAAAGGTTTGCGACTGGACCTTGAAAAGGGGCGGTGGTCATTCTACATTTTTTTTATTAAAATAATATATTTCACATAACGTTGACGCCATATAGATGGTTTTGATTTTGGGTCACAAAGAAGAGTCGATGAAAGGTTGATTTATTTTATTTTTGTGGCCACATGACGACGAGAGAAAAAAGACCGTTTGACTAAGTCACGTCATACGACGAATTTCCTTTATTAGGAAAGTCATGCGAGCTGGCACCTCTAAGACGTGTAGTTTTAAATGGACTTCACAGATAATCAGAATACTAACGAGCATTCTTTGCTATGCATTTATTTTAAAATAAAAAGAGGTTGGCTTGAGTGCATCACGTGATATAACATTGTTTTGATTGATAAATTGGAAAATTTCCTTAAAGTCAGTGAATCATTCATCCTATCATCTTTGAGTGAGCCTCTATACCTCAAGGCTGAGAATAAGGGAGATTAGTTATATGGCGTAGCATAAGTGGGGTGGGAGGGGTGGGGTTGGAGGGTATTTCTACTTGGTGGATTTACCACATCCTTCCATTCGGATCGATCTTTCAACCACATCCTTCCATTCGGATCGATCTTTCAACCACATCCTTCCATTCGGATCGATCTTTCAACCACATCCTTCTATTCGGATCGATCTTTCAACCACATCCTTCCAATCGGATCGATCTTTCAACGTCATCTTTCCATTGGGATCGATCTTTAAACCACATCATTCCATTCGGATCGATCTTTAAACCACATCATTCCATTCGGATCGATCTTTCAACCACATCCTTCCATTCGGATCGATCTTTAAACCACACCCTTCCAATCGGATAGATCTTTCAACAACATCCTTCCATTCGGATCGATCTTTCAACCACATCCTTCCATTCGGATGGATCTTGAAACCACATCCTTCCATTCGGATGGATCTTGCAACCACATCCTTCCATTCGGATGGATCTTTCAACCACATCCTTCCAATCGGATCGATCTTTCAACCACATCCTTCCATTCGGATCGATCTTTTAACCACATCCTTCCATTCGGATCGATCTTTCAACCACATCCTTCGATTCGGATGGATCTTGCAACCACATCCTTCCATTCGGATCGACACATGGCTTTCCGGCTCCACTCGCAGACCCCCAGCAGGCGTAAGTTCTTCTCTACATCGTTGACCCATGTCAGTCTTGATCGACCCGTGAGCCTAGTCAACCATTACTAATACCTCCATCACAATAAGAAAAACTAACAGTCAAGATGATCGATATATATAACTCTTGCTACATATTATTGTTTTTACTAAGGTACAACTGGAGTAAATCATTCAACATAATATTTAAATTGATACATTAACAATGATTCAGTTGAATTTTTTAAAAATTAATTATTCACTAATATGTTACAATGTTACATGAAGTTGTATTCGTTATATCTAATAGAGGGTCGTGACAATTTTATTTTAAAATGCTTATAAATGGGTCCGACGGGATGGGAAAAGGGGGGAGGGGATGGCGCTGATGGCTTTTTTATGGGCCCAAAGGGGGCGGTGGCCGAAACAATTTTGAGAACCACTGTTTAATTAATTTTCATTTTTTTTAAACCTTTTCAATACGTTTGAATTCATGGCACAGAGATAAATGTGTTTCTGTGACGACAGTCGAGGACATTGACTGATTTCAAGGAGATTAATCATGTAAATTTAATGTCTGAAATAACCATCATTATTTTAGGCGAGTGTGTTGTTCAGGAATGGTCTAATCAGTTCAATGTAAAAAGGCAATATGTCATGAAATCATCTAAATGTTGGTGTCATCTTAAATATATATTTTAAACAAATCTAATAAATGTATATATTTGAGTAATACTTTGTAAAAAAAATAATAATTGAAAAGTACCGGAGCTATCTGTGAACACGTAACTCGAAACAGGGCGGTTTTGAAGTGCTGGCAGTATTAGGTGGTCATGTGCAAAGGAGTGACCAGCACGCCAAAGATCTGTGCCTCGCGATGTTGGTGACGTCTAAGAACAAGAGGGGTGAAATGTGTCAAGGATCGAGGAGGTGCCTTAACTCGGTGACTGTGTTTCAGATGTATAGGAGAAAGGTGATCGTGGCAGGGGCGCACCTGAACTTCTATGATGGCGAGATCACAGTGCTGCTGGGCAACAAGGGAGCAGGGAAGTCCACGTTGATTTCCATCATTGCAGGTACGGGAAGGGGGGGCTGTGTTATAGGAGGGGGGATGGGTTACCGCTCCTAGGACTGAAGTGGCAGCTCTGGAGATTTCTTTGAATTTTGAGGTGATCCGGGGCTAGGGTTAGGATTGGGATTTGGGTTATGGTTAGGATAAGGGTTAGCGTTTGGGTAAGGGTTATGGTTAGGGTAAGGGTTATGGTTAGGGACAGGTTTATGGTTAGGGTAAGGGTTAACGTTAGGGTTAGGGTCAGGGTTAGTGTAAGGGTTAGCGTACGAGTTAGGTTTAGTGTTAGGGGTTAAGGAAAATGGTTAGGTTAGGATAAGGGTTAGGGTTATTCGTATGAATTGTTAGATGATCTGGTGTGACTTGTTTGCCTTTAGTTTGATGATTAGTTTTTTCAAGGACACAAAGTTGAAGTTTTATAATATGAATTTTGATAATTTTTCTTAAAGTATTTTTGAAAAATGTATATGAAAGTCATGTTTTGATAAAAATTCAGCGTCGATTGAATGCTATAAATCATACTAGGATGCACTCCATTGTGGACAGCTGTATCTGAGCTTTGAAGGAATTCCTACATTTAAAAAATAAAAATATTTAATGACAACTTGTCAGGGTCCGAGTTCTTGTCATTCAAGTCCTAATTCCACCTGTCTTCATTTTAGCACTAAGTGGCGGCACCTTCTATTGCGTCGCGTGCCAGTTCACTAAAACAGGAGTATCGCCATTTTGCAGGGGCGGTCAATCCAACCAGGGGGACGTCAGCCATCAACACAGCTTACAGCACCAACACGAAGGCCATCAAAGCCAGGGAGAACATCGGATACGGTCCACAAGACCACCCTCTGATCCCCTACCTGACGTGCTATGAACACCTGGTCTTTCATTACAAGGCGAGTAAATGACAGGAATTGGGGGGGGGGGGTGTAATGGTCCTGACAGCTGTGGTAGAACAGCCATGACGATGATTGGGGCCAAAACCAATTTTGGGGGTAACAACAAACCGTAACCATTCCTTTGGACGATTTCTGGCAAGAGAGCGAAGGTCAGTTTCACACGCGTTATCACCCTTGCAATTATGTCCGTCATTGTTCAAATTACAAACAATTATATACGTAAATTTTCAAGTTACTAGCAATTGTATCCGTAAACGTTCAAATTACTATCAATTGTATCCTTAAATGTTCAAATTACTAGCAATTGTATCCGTAAATGTACAAATTACTATCAATTACATATGTAGATGTTCAAATAACTAGCAATTATATCAGTAAATGTTCAAATTACTATCAATTATATCCTTAAATGTTCAAATTACTAGATATTGTATCCGTAAATGTACAAATTACTAGCAATTACATATGTATGTTCAAATAACTAGCAATTACATCAGTAAATGTTCAAATTACTAGCAATTATATCCTTAAATGTTCAAATTACTAGCAATTGTATCCGTAAATGTACAAATTACTAGCAATTACATAATTTAGATGTTCAAATTACTAGCAATTGTATCCGTAAATTTTCAAATTACTAGAAATTATTTCCGACTTCTAAAATAATATAATTTTATCTTGCTCCATGCAATAAACCCCAAATGGAAGAGATATACCAATTAACACTTCTAGTGCCTCTATTGTGACGTCATGTTCTCCTGCCAAAGTTAAAGACTTGTAGATTTACACCCCTGGGAAAACACACAAATAATTTTTTTCCTCGATTTGTTACAGTTGCGAGGGGAATACAAAACCGCAGGGGAGGAGGAGTTGGTCACCCTGCTGGCAGGTGTCGGGCTGTCAGAGAGGGTTGACGATCAAGCCGCGTATCTGAGTGTTCGTGACCAGAGGTTCCTGCAACTTGCTTGTGTTTTCTGTGGTAACCCTAAGGTAATCTTTCATGTTGCTCGTGTTTTCTGTGGTAACCCTAAGGTAATCTGTCATTTTGCTCGTGTTTTCTGTGGTAACCCTAAGGTAATCTGACATGTTGATCGTGTTTTCTGTGGTAACCCTAAGGTAATCTGTCATGTTGCTTGTGTTTTCTGTGGTAACCCTAAGGTAATCTTTCATGTTGCTCGTGTTTTCTGTGGTAATCCTAAGGTAATATTTCATGTTGCTCGTGTTTTCTGTGGTAATCCTAAGGTAATCTGTCATGTTGCTCGTGTTTTCTGTGGTGACCCTAAGGTAATCTTTCATGTTGCTCGCGTTTTCTGTGGTGCCCTAAGGTAATCTGTCATGTTGCGTGTGTTTTTTGTAGTAACCCTAAGGTAATCTGTCATGTTGCTTGTGTTTTGTGTAGTAACCCTAAGGTAATCTGTCATGTTGCTTGTGTTTTCTGTGGTGACCCTAAGGTAATATTTCATGTTGCTCGTCTTTTCTGTGGTGACCCTAAGGTAATCTGTCATGTTGCTTGTGCTTTCTGTGGTAACCCTAAGGTAATGTGTCAAGACAGGAATTTGACAGGGCCAAGCCAAGCATATGTCTTTACATGGCGCCCTCTCACAAAACAATATTCATATTAATAGCACAAATTCTGCATGTGAAATTATGATTTTTTGTACGCCCGCTAAAGATGGGCGGCTGACCCCCCTTTTACCCCCCACCCCCAAAACCACTCACTTTTTTTCTCAAGACCCTAATCTTGTGTACCAAGATCTCACTTTCATTTGTCTAAAAATAGTGTAGGTTTTACTGTGTTGCGCAATCAAAAGAAATAAGAAGAGAGAGAGAGAGAGAGAGAGAGAGAGAGAGAGAGAGAGAGAGACGGAGTGGAGACACATATTTCTACCTACTGTTATCGCCCATGAGAAAATTAAGGCTGTCTGGCACTAATTCTTGGGGGCCTCTGTCCTTTCTCATAGAGTGTAACTGTCGGATTGCTGTGGGGATATTAACACCCCATCATTGAAATAATTGCTTCTAATGTAGACTATTCTCCTTGACGAGCCATCGAAGGGCCTGGATGAGAACAGCAGACGTGACATGTGGGAGTTCCTTAAACAGATGCGCACCGGTCGCACCATTTTGATCAGTTCTGAGAGCGCCGAGGAGGCTGCGACTTTTGGCGACAGAATAGCCATCATGCAGGAGGGGGTCATCAAGTGCTACGGCACGCCGGCGTTCTTAAAGACAATTTACGGTAAGATCCATTTATTAAAGACAGTTTACAGAAAGATCCATTACTTGAAGACTATTTACGATAAGATCCATTTATTAAAGACAGTTTACAGAAAGATCCATTTCTTGAAGACTATTTACGGTAAGATCCATTTATTAAAGACAGTTTACAGAAAGTTCCATTTCTTAAAGACAATTTACGGTAAGATCCATTTATTAAAGACAGTTTACAGAAAGATCCATTTCTTGAAGACTATTTACGGTTAGATCCATTTATTAAAGACAGTTTAAAGAAAGATCAATTATTTGAAGACAATTTACAGAAATATCAATTTCTTAAAGACAGTTTATAGTAATATCAATTTCTTAAAGACAATTTACGGTAAGGTCAATTCTTTAAAACGGTTTACGGTAAAAAAAAAATCAACTTCTTATATACAATGGCCCCTATTCCCTGGCCTAACTCCATAATAGTGTGCTCCTACGGTTCAAGTAACGGGCCCCACAAAGAGGCCCTATGAGTACCAACAAACAAAAAAATGAAATTTCCAAAGATACTTCCAAATTTCAGAAACTAAACTTTTATTTACACTTTTTTGGTGCTCACCTGAAACGGAAGCCCCGGGGTGGGTGGGGGGGAGGGGTGCTGGATCCCAATCTGCCCCTCTTCTGCGGCTACTGGACTACTCACTAAAAACCACCAGTTACTTGATAGAATATGAATAACACCAACATTCCATGTCAAATTTTCAAAATATGGTATTGAAATGACAAATAAGTTTTGGTGTACTCTTGAAGGTTCTGGTTATAAAGTAGACATGGTCAGGGATGAAGACTGTGACGTCAAGTTCGTTACAGACACGATCACCTACCTTCACCCGGAAGTGCAATTATGGGTGAGTCATCACACGCCACGGGCAACAGTCGTTGAGACTTGTTTCCAGGCATGTCAAGTGAATAAATAGAGGATCAAGAAAAGATATGTTTAGGGATGATAAAACTTTTTTTTTAAAATGGTAGTGTAGTTTTTTTTTTTTTTTTTTTTTTTTTTTTTGGTTTTTTGGGATTTTTTTTTTAACCGGGCAGAGTGTGTTTCACAATCATGGCTCCAGTCCTGCAGGAATATCGCCACTGAATTAAAAAAAAAAAATATTTTGTGTGTGTGTGTGCATAGAAATAAATAGGCAACATATTTATTTGGGGGGCAAGGGTTTGGCAGAGGGATCTTATGGGAATTCCCACACATTTCCCCTATGACTTGACCCCCCACCCCTCCTCTCCCTCGTTGCAATGCATTTTAAAAAGCTTTTTTTCCTATACAAATTCCTTTTACACAGTAATGTTTTAATTTACTGAGGGTTTTTTTTATTTATAAGGGGGGGGGGGGGTTATGGGGGGGGGGGGGTTATGGGAGACCAGGGCCGGTAACCTGGTCAATACATGTCGAAGATTAACGCGTGAAAGGACAAGGTGCCTAACTTTCCTGACAATTTCATGGATTGTACAGAATCTTTTTTTTTTTTAAAGTACTTTTTTAATTTTATAATAATAAAAAGACCTTTACCATCGGGTTATTATTGGATTTATTATTTTTTAATTCCTTTTTTTCTTTCTTTCATCATGATAAGAAAAATTCAGTAACCGATTTGTGAAAATCAACAACCGGTTTTCCCTTATTCCCCCGGAGAGTATTGTTCAAAGGTGCGCGGGGGGTGCAGTGGGGACAGATGTCCCCGGGTGCCAGCTAGTTAGGGGCGCCAAAATGTGCTTTGATATTATGTCATCGGTAAAAATAATGGGTTTGAGAGTTGAAAAAAAAGAAAAGGGGGGGCGCTTTAAAATGGATCTTGTCCGCGGCGCGAATCTTGTCCCCGGACGGCAAACACCCTCGCTACGCCTCTGGAGACGGGCACTATCGCGTGTGGTCTGCTTGCCAGGAGGCATCCACGAAGTCACTCTACGGGGGGCATTTTAGGGTTGGAAAACTTCTCAAGGTCAGGGTTCTTTGAAGCGTGTTCCGTTTTGTTTCGTTTCTAGGGCATCAACTTGAAAGTTCTGCAGTACTACCTGCCGGAGGCCAACATATTCTTTCTCATCCAAGTGCTCCACCTGCTGGACATTAAAAAGAAAACCCTCCGCATCCAGTCGTTTGAGCTCAGCTTCACGCCCCTGGAGGAGGTGCTCGCCAAGTAAGGAGACTAGTCTTGTACCTTTACTAGCTGTCTTCTACCTTTACTACCTGTCTTGTACAGTTACTACCTGTATTGTACCTTTACTACCTGTCTTGTACCTTGACTACCTGTCTTTTACAGTTACTACTAGTCTTGTACAGTTACTACCTATATTGTACCTTTACTACCTGTCTTGTACCTTTAATACCTCTCTTGTATAGATACTACCTGTCTTGTACCTTTACTACCGGCATTGTACCTTTACTACCTGTCTTGTACAACTGGAGGAGGTCCTCACCAAGTAGGAGACTAGTGTTGTATCTTTACTACCTTTCTTGTACCTTAATACTTGTCTAGTACATTGTAGGAGGGCCTCACCAAGTAGGGGACTAGTCTTGTACCTTTACTACCTTTCTTGTACCTTAATACTTGCCTAGTACATTGGAGGAGGGCCTCACCAAGTAGGGGACTAGTCTTGTACCTTTACTACCTTTCTTGTACCTTAATACTTGCCTAGTACATCGGAGGAGGTCCTCACCAAGTAGGAGACTAGTGTTGTATCTTTACTACCGGCATTGTACCTTTACTACCTGTCTTGTACAACTGGAGGAGGTCCTCACCAAGTAGGGGACTAGTCTTGTACCTTTACTACCTTTCTTGTACCTTAATACTTGCCTAGTACATTGTAGGAGGGCCTCACCAAGTAGGGGACTAGTCTTGTACCTTTACTACATTTCGTGTACCTTAATACTTGCCTAGTACATTGTAGGAGGGCCTCACCAAGTAGGGGACTTGTCTTGTACCTTGATTACCGGTCTTGTACATTTATTATTTGCCTTGTGCAATTGGAGGAGGTCCTCACCAAGTAAGAGACTGTTATAGTTTTGTACCTTGACTACTGGTCATGTGCCTTTACTGGCTGTCTTGTACAGTTACTACCTGTCTTAAACAGCCACTTCTGTCTTGTGCAACTACTTCCTGTCTTCTTCAGCTACCTTCTGTCTTGTGCAACTATTTTCTGTCTTGTACGGCTACTTCCTGTCTTGTACAGCTACTTCCTGTCTTGGACAGCCACATCCTATCTTGAACAGCCACTTCCTGTTGTGGGTGATGCAGTCTTACCCGTTAAGTTAATATGGTGTATCTAAGGTCTTGGGTGGAGTCGTATGCGATTAGCTCCATGTATGTTACTTTAAAAATTACCGGGGGAAATATGTTCATAAATTGAATATTTTATACTTCAGCTCATGGCTATTTATGAAGTAAGATGTCTTAACAGGGGCGTAGGAAGGGGGCGATCCGCACCGGATGGCACCTCTTTTTTTTTTTTTTTATTTAGAGTGGTGTAATTTTCGTCCAACAATAGAAATTCTATTTGTTGTGTAATGTCGCGCATGAGAACAAGAATTCAAGCGATACATTTTCTTTTTTTTCTGAACAGAGTCAGGGATGGATATGAGCCCAAACCTTTACCTCCATGTGATCAGTGAGTTGGAGATTTATATTTAAACAGTTCCGCCCTTGAGACGATGGACTCTTGGGCCTTTCCTAGTCATCATCTACTTATGAAGATGCTTCCCGTACACTAAGACAGCAAGGACCCACCAAAAACCTAGGGCATTAAGTGTACAATAGGAATATGACTTAATTAGAAATATTATAATTGTCTCTTTTACTTTCGCCCTCCCTCCCTCTGGCCTTCGACACACACATAAACGCATTTACAACACACACTCCCACATTTACTCTTCTCTGTCTACAGCCAATCTCCTCTACTCTGTCTACATCCAATCTCCTCTACTCTGTCTACAGCCAATCTCCTCTACTCTAACTACAGCCAATCTCCTCTACTATGTCTACAGCCAATCTCATCTACTCTGTCTACAGCCAATCTCCTCTACTCTGTCTACAGCCAATCTCATCTACTCTGTCTACAGCCAATCTCCTCTACTCTGTCTACAGCCAATCTCATCTACTCTGTCTACAGCCAATCTCCGAAGCAAGTTTTACCCCCGGAAGTTACAGAGAACCCCGTTGATCCGAAAATAGAAGGAGAGAATATACTAGGTATTATGGATAGTTATGCTGTATTATGGGTACCGAACACATTCAGTGGCGAACCTTGACTAAATTTTACCTGGGGTGAACTCCAAAAACGTCCAACCCTCTCCCCAAGTAGCAGTACGTTAGAGCTTTGTTTTTTCCGAATGCTGTGTGGCATAAACATTGTTTATGACGAACAAAGCACCCCGGGTGGAGGGGACTCGTCAACCTTGGATGGCGATTCATCTAAGAGCAGGAAACACTGAATTCAAACCTGGAGATGGAGTTCCGTAGGCGGATAACACTGACACAATTAAACTTCCTGACAACTGCTGCGACGCCACTGGTGCCAAGCTGCATCATCCACATGATGTTCCCTTGGGTTATCCAGCGGCGTGGAGAGATGCGATTTGCTGTGTGGGGAACCAGCTTATAATCCTAAAAGAATAATCCCAGGCCTTGTGGATTTCGTCCTGCGAAGTCTACACCATCGTCACATTGTGCCGGCAAAAACAAACCAAAAAAAAAGAAAAACAGATCAAGGGACTGCGCAAAGATGTCGTTTCACAAAAACAGATACAAATCCATCCTTGACTTTGTCAAAAAGTGAAAACGAAATATTTTTTGCCGTGCTGCCCTGCATGGTGAGTAGAGAGGGTTTCTGGCACTGAAGGCCAAAGAAGTAAAGGTCAGCGTATTAGAATTAACGTAAGCCGTTTTAATTAAATCTGAGGTGCAAAAACTTTTTTCAAACGTCTGTTGCTGAATTAACTATCCTATCAGTCGACATCGACCATGGCCATGCCTTTCGTTATAATCATCGAATTAATCCTGAATAATTGTGCTCATTCTGAACTTGGCTGTGGTGTCTTTAAATTAAAGTGTTTCTTCCGCCCACCTATGAATAAAAAAAGCCACGCACACATTTGTCCCTTCGTCTGTCAACTTTGGCTTCCTTTTTTAAATCAATGGCGAACATTTCATGCGTTTCTTTTTTGTTAATCGTTGTATTCAGTCTTTCTTTTTTTTTAATGTTCAATCCTTGAAGCCACGAGACTCAGTGTAGCCCCAGCCGAACGTGCTACAATGGACTATTATTACCTCGCATTAAAGCAATCCCTTGATTTCGTTTTGGTCCGCAAGTAAACATAGTTCATAGTTTTCTTCTCACCCTTTCACAGAGTTGATGCAACTGATGGCCTCCGCCAAGAAGGTCAAAGGTCTCGCCTTTCATTACAAACAAATCGTGGCCATTGCGGCGAAAGAGTTCAGGCTTCGCGGGCGAGCCGTGCTGCCCATGCTGGCGTGGATCGTCCTCCTGTTCGCCGTCAGCGCCGGCACGGCCCTCTGGGAGTACCCCGTGGACGACACCGACGGCTGGCGGGACGCGCCCCTGATGTTCGCGCTGAACAACCAGACCGCCACCGTCACCCACCTGACGGTCAGCGAGGGCGTCGCCGCGGGCTTCGCGGACGCTTACAGGGGGCAGTTTGAGGCCCTCAATGAAACGAACCGGCTCGTCGAGTTCAACAGACCCCTGGTACAGATGTGCCCTGTCCTCGATAACTGTGTGGTTTGTACCAGAGATGGGAATCGAAACCTCTTTTAGAAGCTCGGTTCGGTTCAAGTTCGGTCGTCAACAGGGTTCGGTTTCGGTGTGCTCGGTTGGGGTTCGATCCGGTTCCCATCTCTAAGTTGTACAATGCTCCGTCGAATTGTTCTTTCGTTTTATATGGCCTAGGATGCTGTTAGTTTAAATAATCCAGTGCCGTGGACCAGCTCTTCTTTTTTTTTTTTTTTGTCACACTATTACCAAAAAGGGGCTATTATGACACAAGGGTTTTTATGACATAATAGCTACATGGACGCAAAGACACATCGGGGCATTAGTGACAGCATTGTAGCTTTGATTAACATCAGAGCATACATGACCAAGGGCATTAGCGATAGCACTGAAGCTTTCAGTAACATCAGAGAATACATGACCAAGGGAATTAGTGGTAGCACTGTAGCTTTCACCAACACCAGAGCATACCTCGCCAAGGGCATTAGTGATAGTACTGTAGGTGTTCAAAAAATCTTAATGAGGTTGCAAAACTGATTTATTAACTGTCCATCTCTTTGTTGAGAGGGACAAAAAAAAAGAAGAAATGATAAGAGTCCTAGGGCCAAACAAGCTCACTCATATCCGTCACCTGTACCATGCAACCTGGGTGATTTTGCTGCATACCATCGTTGACCATCTGCCTGCAGATCTGGCAGAATTGTTGTCCTGTGACTGCCCGCGGCCTTTATAGTTGTTAATTTTTATGCTATAAAGTGGTGTAGTCATTGAACTGTAATAAGAAATGCGTTCTACAGTGTGAACTAGTAGTACATACCTCTTAATTACTTATTTCTTTAGTACCTACCTCTTTATTACTTATTTCTTTAGTACATACCTCTTTATTACTTATTTGTTTAGTACATACCTCTTTATTACTTATTTCTTTAGTACATACCTCTTTATGACTTATTTCTTTAGTACATACCTCTTTATTACTTATTTCTTTAGTACATACTACTTTATTACTTATTTCTTTAGTACATACCTCTTTATTACTTATTTCTTTAGTACATACCTCTTTATTACTTATTTCTTTAGTACATACCTCTTTATTACTTATTTCTTTAGTACATACTACTTTATTACTTATTTCTTTAGTACATACCTCTTTATTACTTATTTCTTTAGTACATACCTCTTTATTACTTATTTCTTTAGTACATACCTCTTTATTACTTATTTCTTTAGTACATACTACTTTATTACTTATTTGTTTAGTACCTATCTCTTTATTACTTATTTCTTTAGTACATACCTCTTTACTACTTATTTCTTTAGTACATACTACTTTATTACTTATTTCTTTAGTACATACCTCTTTATTACTTATTTCTTTAGTACATACTACTTTATTACTTATTTCTTTAGTACATACCTCTTTATTACTTATTTCTTTAGTACATACCTCTTTACTACTTATTTCTTTAGTACATACTACTTTATTACTTATTTCTTTAGTACATACCTCTTTATTACTTATTTCTTTAGTACATACTACTTTATTACTTATTTGTTTAGTACCTATCTCTTTATTACTTATTTCTTTAGTACATACCTCTTTATTACTTATTTCTTTAGTACATACTACTTTATTACTTATTTGTTTAGTACCTATCTCTTTATTACTTATTTGTTTAGTACATACCTCTTTATTACTTATTTCTTTAGTACATACCTCTTTATTACTTATTTCTTTAGTACATACTACTTTATTACTTATTTGTTTAGTACCTATCTCTTTATTACTTATTTGTTTAGTACATACCTCTTTATTACTTATTTCTTTAGTACATACCTCTTTATTACTTATTTCTTTGGTGCATACTTCTTTATCAATTATTTCTTTAGTACATACCTCTTTATTACTTATTTCTTTGGTGCATACCTCTTTATTACTTATTTCTTTAGTACCTATCTCTTTATCAATTATTTCTTTAGTACATACCTCTTTATTACTTATTTCTTTAGTACATACCTCTTTATTACTTATTTCTTTAGTACATACCTCTTTATTACTTATTTCTTTGGTGCATACCTCTTTATTACTTATTTCTTTAGTACCTATCTCTTTATCAATTATTTCTTTAGTACATACCTCTTTATTACTTATTTCTTTAGTACATACCTCTTTATTACTTATTTCTTTGGTGCATACCTCTTTATTACTTATTTCTTTAGTACCTATCTCTTTATCAATTATTTCTTTAGTACATACCTCTTTATTACTTATTTCTTTAGTACTTATCTCTTTATCACTTATTTCTTTAGTACATACCTCTTTATTACTTATTTCTTTAGTACATACCTCTTTATTACTTATTTCTTTAGTACATACCTCTTTATTACTTATTTCTTTAGTACCTATCTCTTTATCACTTATTTCTTTAGTACATACCTCTTTATTACTTATTTCTTTAGTGAATACTTCCGTATTACTTATTTCTTTGGTGCATACTTCTTTATCAATTATTTCTTTAGTACATACCTCTTTATTACTTATTTCTTTAGTACATACCTCTTTATTACTTATTTCTTTGGTGCATACCTCTTTATTACTTATTTCTTTAATACCTATATCTTTATCAATTATTTCTTTAGTACATACCTCTTTATCAATTATTTCTTTAGTACATACCTCTTTATTACTTATTTCTTTAGTACATACCTCTTTATTACTTATTTCTTTAGTACATACCTCTTTGTTACTTATTTCTTTAGTACATACCTCTTTATTACTTATTTCTTTGGTGCATACCTCTTTATTACTTATTTCTTTAGTACCTATCTCTTTATCAATTATTTCTTTAGTACATACCTCTTTATTACTTATTTCTTTAGTACATACCTCTTTATTACTTATTTCTTTAGTACTTATCTCTTTATCACTTATTTCTTTAGTACATACCTCTTTATTACTTATTTCTTTAGTACATACCTCTTTATTACTTATTTCTTTAGTACATACCTCTTTATTACTTATTTCTTTAGTACCTATCTCTTTATCACTTATTTCTTTAGTACATACCTCTTTATTACTTATTTCTTTAGTGAATACTTCCGTATTACTTATTTCTTTGGTGCATACTTCTTTATCAATTATTTCTTTAGTACATACCTCTTTATTACTTATTTCTTTAGTGAATACTTCCGTATTACTTATTTCTTTAGTACCTACCTCTATAGTACCTATTTTGTTAGTGCATGTTACTTTACTTATTATTAAATCTAATCATTTTTTGACGATTTTTCCAAGCCTTTTTTTTTTCCAAAACCTCCTAACCTTGTCCCCAAGCCGTGCATGATAATATAAAGTCTGTAGAAGTTAAGACGTCCATTTGTCCATCCTCTTGTCCATTGTACCGGTCTTGTCCAGTGTACCGCTCTTGTACATTATACCACTTTGTCCCGGTCTAATCAATTGTACCGGTCCTGTACATTATACCACTTTTGTCCCATTAGTCGATTCTCTTGTCCATTGTACTGGTCTTGTCCATTGTACCGCTGTTGTCCATTGTACCGCTCTTGTCCACTGTACCACAGGATGTCGACACGTACCTGAAGCAGTGGGCTGAGGAAAACTTTGAGGAATATTCTCGAGACGTGTACGTAGGGGCGGTGCTCAAGGCGCCACCGGAGGCGAGCATTGGGCTTTACAAGGCTAAGAAACTGCACTCGGAGCCACTTACGGTGAGGTCACACTCAGTTACTGGTTGAGTTGTCATGTCCTGGAGTACAAAGGTTGAAATATAGATCTACATTGGAGCTCCATCCTTAGAGTTATAGGCAATGATCATATTGGAGTTGGAGTACGCACTTAACATTTTGAGGCAGATAAGAAAAGCGCACTTAGAATTTTAAGGCAGATAAGAAAAGCGCACTTAGAATTTTAAGGCAGATAAGAAAAGCGCACTTAGAATTTTAAGGCAGATAAGAAAAGCGCACTTAGAATTTTAAGGCAGATAAGAAAAGCGCACTTAGAATTTTAAGGCAGATAAGAAAAGCGCACTTAGAATTTTAAGGCAGATAAGAAAAGCGCACTTAGAATTTTAAGGCAGATAAGAAAAGCGCACTTAGAATTTTAAGGCAGATAAGAAAAGCGCACTTAGAATTTTAAGGCAGATAAGAAAAGCGCACTTAGAATTTTAAGGCAGATAAGAAAAGCGCACTTAGAATTTTAAGGCAGATAAGAAAAGCGCACTTAGAATTTTAAGGCAGATAAGAAAAGCGCACTTAGAATTTTAAGGCAGATAAGAAAAGCGCACTTAGAATTTTAAGGCAGATAAGAAAAGCGCACTTAGAATTTTAAGGCAGATAAGAANAGATACGTGAGTAATGGGGGGTCAGATATTCGTGAGTAATGGGGGTCAGAGATACGTGAGTAATGGGTGGGTCAGAGATACGTGAGTAGTGGTGATCAGAGATACGTGAGTAATGGGGGGTCAGAGATACGTGAGTAGTGGTGATCAGAGATACGTGAGTAATGGGGGTCAGAGATACGTGAGTAATGGGGGTAATATATTGTTATGGATTCTTTAATATAGTACTGGGTGGAATGGATGCTCCAGAGGTAATGTAAAACAAAACAAGTCACTACCCACATGATGAGTCTTTAAGTATGTAACTCTGAATCTGTTATCAATAACTTTGGTAATTTAAGTTTGATTCACCCCAAGTTAAAATAATAGGGATTATTCTTTAAAAATATTATTTAATACCTGGCATTCCTATTTGACCGCTCTCTGTGAGCGGGTATCAACCTTGACATTGAGTTCAAACTTTCTATTGTCATTCAGATTTTTTTTTTTTTTTTTTAATAGCAAGTTTCACCTTCCCATCCACAACTGACCTAAAATATCACCAAACTTTCAATTAATGTATCGTTCAGTTCAGAGCTCCGGAGCTTGCTGCTACTTGTGGAGTTAACACGTTCAATTATTGGTTCGGGGCGTTCTTGGTAGACTTCACGATCTTCGTCGTCGTGGTCAGCACACAGCTGGTCGCCTACGCGTTGCAGCCGTTCAACTTTCTCTCCGGGGACCGCTGGATCCTGACGCTGACCACCGTCATGCTGTTCGGGTTGCCGCTCATGCCGTACGTCTACGTCCTCCACAACGTCTTCAACCGCCCCGCCTATGGCGAAGCCGTGACGCTGGTCATCAGTTTGATTTTTGGTTAGATTGCGTTTGTGTTTGTGTCGACAAAAGGCGTCTGACGAGACGCATGTCCAATCTGTGTTTGTATTTACAAACGGTGTCTGACGAAACGCATGTCTAATGTGTTTGTATCGACAAACGGTGTCTGACGAGACGCATGTCCAATCTGTGTTTGTATTGACAAACGGTGTCTGACGAGACGCATGTCCAATCTGTGTTTGTATTGACAAACGGTGTCTGACGAGACGCATGTCCAATCTGTGTTTGTATTGACAAACGGTGACTGACGAGCATGTCTAATCTGAATGAGGCGGCAATGTTCCAAGCCAGCCGTTTCGCCCCAGGACCCAGTACATTAATGCGGGAGGTAACACATGCTACTTCTATAAGACAAGATGGGTCACGGGGAATTGAGTAAAGCATAAATGACTAAATGATGCGATTCCTACATACAAAAAAAAAAAGTTCATTTAGGTAAAACTTGAGTTAGTGCCGGTAAATCATCAGGGGTAGTTCTCCCATATATGTGGCTAACGTCTATAAGATGATCTCTCCCTGTGTTCCGCTTTGTTGCCTTATGGATGGTACGCTCTACGGTCGACTTTACGGAACACGGCAATGCAGTATGCGAAGAGGTTGATTTGGTCGGGAAACCATGAGGAAGCTGTATGTGCCTGCGGTTACCTTATCCTCAGTTCACGCCATCAAATTTTCGTCAAATTTCTTTTTGAATGAACTTTGTTGTAACATAAAATAGTGCGTTCAAAAAGAAATTTGACGAAAATTTTATTGTGTGAATTGAGTGTTAATGTGTTCAGTTAGCGCGGGCCTGTACATTTTTTTTTGTGTAAACTTGAGACCCTCAGTTCGAAACATTGACCAATTAACTTTTAGGAAATCTTAAGGCAGGTCGTGTATTAAAAATGTCCATTGTTTTTTTGTTATGTCTTTTACTGAATGTTCTATAATTGATTAAGGCTTGGTTACATGCCTTGGCTTGCCGACATTGAAGGCAACACAGGATCAGAAGGCAAACTTAGCACATGTTTCACTCTTTCACTTTCCAGGCCTCCTGTTGCCCGCCATGAACACTGTCGCTGACGTGGGTTTGCTGGGACACATCGTCCTCATGATCATTTTCTCCTTCCTGTCGCCGTGTTACCTGATGACCAGTTGCATGTTCTACATCCTAGGCATCGCCTTGCGCGGCGACTCTGTTGGTGAGTGGCATTGTAGGTGTGGTTGAGTAATCTATTATGCTGATAAGGATTGTATGCGAGTATCGAGTATCGTATCATTTTGGTGAGTATTCTTTAACATGGTATCGTATTATGTTTTGAGTATAATATTATCATCGTTATTATCATATCATCATGATGAGTATAGTATTATGTTGGGGAGTATCATATTATCATCGTGAGTACCATATTATCATGGTGTGTATGATATTGTCATGATGGGAATCACATTATCGTGTTGAGTATTATATTATCGTGTTGAGTATCTTACTAGCATGATGAGTATCAAATTATCATGGTGTGTATCATATTATCATGGTCACTATCCAGCCTGATGAAATGCTTGATGATCCTACATAATCTAAAATTGTTTCAAAACTTGATTAAAAATGGCCGATACAAACTTGAAGCGGACAACGATACTCAAATCAAGTGAAATATTAGGAGGTCAAATTCGAAAACAATGCTATGAAATGACTTTCAAAATGTCAAACATTTTCCAGCCTCGGGGTAAGTTAGCTGAACAAGATTTCCATCCCCCTAACTCAAATTTACCAATTATTTCGTCTTCTACGGTTGGTTAGGGGTTAAAATTATTTCTCTTATTCCTAGAAACGATTCTCAGCGTCAACGCCGATGCCTACGTTTACATTAGCGCAGTGATATTTCTACTACAGACGATCATCTGGTGGGCACTACTTTTACATCTTGAGAAACGTCCCCGGCAAAGGATGAGGTAAAGTTTCAATGAATACAACTTTTTTTTTTTTTTTAAAGTTTGGACGCTATCTCTATCTAACCGATGATATGGTTCCTTTCTTTAAAGTCATGGTTAGGAACTCTGAACTTTTCTTGCTAGATGTGCCGGGCCATTAACTTCCTTGGTACCCGGAAGTGTCTCAGGTGATAAGGGAAGTAACTTGGAACCGAAGTTCAATCACGGGATAGTGAAATTATTATTTAACAGTATCATTCTCTCAGGGGCGTCAATCGGGTTAGTGCTACCCGTAGCAGGAAAACATTTGCCCCCCCCCCCCTTTTTTTTTTCCCCATTCCCCGAAAAAAATAATGAAAATGCAATATGATTTTCTTTTATTTTTTAAAACTTAATTAAAATTTGACGCCGTTTTTACCCTGCGTTTTATTCGTTTTCACTTGGCACTAGTCATCACTTAGCACTAGTCATCACTTGGCACGAGTCATCACGTGACACGAGTCATCACGTGACACTAGTCATCACTTGGCACTAGTCAACACTTGGCACTAGTCATCACTTGGCACTAGTCATCACGTAACACTAGTCAACACTTGGCACTAGTCATCACTTGGCACTAGTCATCACGTGACACTAGTCATCACCTGGCACTAGTCATCACTTGGCACTAGTCGTCTCGTGACACTAGTCATCACTTGGCACTCTTCTTACAATTGAGGAAAATAGAACCTGTTTTTAATTCTTAGCTTCCGCTATATTCTTATGCTTGTAGAAAGATCGATGCTTGAAATATTTGAACCAAATTCTATTTCCAAGTTAAGTGAGAGCTTGGAACCAAAACGTGAGGTGACAACGGTGTAAACTATAAATTTACCATAGCAACGTGTGTAACTCGAAACTTCAAGTCGGGAGGTGTGGAGTTTACCATAGCAACGTGTGTAACTCGAAACTTCAAGTCGGGAGGTGTGGAGTTTACCATAGCAACGTGTGCAACTCGAACATTAAGTCGGGAGTGTCGGGAAGGTTAGACTAACTCCAGGGTGACAGTGGTGATCACCTTTTTCGTAATCCGTGTCAATGTGTTTCCGGTTAGTTTGAAAAAAAAAACGCAGACAGAAATGGTGTTCGCAGGTTTCCCTCCAGTTTTGCCTCGTCATTCCCTCCTGTCAGTCCCCAAGTCCGGTTTGCGGTTCATTAATCGGGATTCTCAATGTTCACAGTGATCGTCTGACAGGAACCGCGACAAACGAAAGGGCTTCTGGTAGCTTTGAGTACACGCCCTTGAACCCCGACAATGACGTATTAGAGGAGAGGAAGTACGTCAAGGCCACGTCACTCAACGAGTTGTTGAAGGACAGTAAGTCTAAGCCAGTGGGTTTGTGTTATGATAGTAAATCAAGCACAGTAGGTTTGTGTAATGATTATTAAGTCTCGGCCAGTGGGTTTGTGAGGTGATCCTGTGATAAGATAATATACCATAATTTTGTTTCTAAGCGTGAGGGGATGG